GTTGATTCGGAGACTAGGGTGCTGAATCTTAATAAAGGAAACTATGAAGATATAAGGTGTGAGCTGGCCTTGATAGATTGGGGAGAGTTACTTAAAGGGATGACCATGGATAGGCAATGGCAAACATTCAAGGAACGCATGGGGAACTGTAACAACTGTTTATTCCTGCCTGGCACAAAAGCAAAATGGGTAAGAGGGCCAATCCATAGCTTACAAAAGAAATTAGAGATAGTATCCGATCCAAGGAAGAAACATACAGATTGACCAAGAAAAATAATATGTCTGGGGATTGGGAGCAGTTTAGAATTCAGCAAAGAAGAAGCAAAGGATTGATTAAGAAGGGGAAAATACAGTACGAAAGTAAGCTTGCAGGGAACATAAAGACTGACACTAAGAGTTTCTATAGGTACATGAAGAGAAAAAGATCAGTGAAGACAAATGTAAGTCCCCTACAGACAGAAACGGGAGAATGTATAATAGGGGACAAAGCAATGGCTGAGGAGCTGAATACATGCTTTGGTTCTGTCTTCACAAAAGAAGACACATTTCAGATACCAAAAGTATTGGAGAATGCAAGATTTAGTGAGAGGGAAGAATTCAGGGAGATCAATATTAGCAGAGAAATGGTGCTGGGAAAATTGATGAGATTAAAGGTGGATAAATCACCAGGACCTGATAATCTACATTCCAGAGTACTTAAGGAAGTGGCTGTAGAAATAGTGGATACATTAATAATCATCTTCAGAATTCTACATACTCTGGAACAGTCCCTGCAGATTGGAGGGTAGTTAATGTCACCCCAATATTCAAAAAGGGAGGTCGAGAGAAAACGGGGAATTACAGACTCATAACCCTAACGTCAGTGGTGGGCAAAATTCTCAAAACTATTATCAAGGACTTTATGGTGGAGCGTTTAGAAAGCAGTGGCAGGATCAAACAGGATCAGACAGAATTTGTTGGAATTCTACGAAGATGTCGCTAGTAGAGTTGACAAGGGGAGCCAGTCGATGTGGTATATTTGGACTTCAGAAAGCATTTGAAAGTGTCCCATAAGATTATTGTGCAAGATTAAAGCACATGGGATTGGGGGGGAGGGGGAAGTGTATTGAAATAGATAGAAAACTAGTTGGCAGAGAAGAAACAACAAGTAGGAATTAATAGGTCCTTTTCAAATTAGCAGGCATTAACTAGTCGGGTGCCATAGGGATCGGTGCTGGGACCCCAGCTATTCACAATATATATTAATTATTTGGATGAGGGAAGAAAATGGTATCATCTGCAAACTGAGGTGTTACACGTTGGGTGGGAGGGTGAACTATGATGAGGATGCAGAGATCTTTCAGCATGATCTGGACAAGTTGAGTGCGTGGGCAAATCACTGGCAAATAATTGGGATAAATGTAAGGTTATTCTCTTTGGAAGCAAAAGCAAGAAGACAGATTACTACCTGAATGGCTGTAATTTGGGAGAGGGGAGTGTGCAGCAGGACCCGAGTGTCTTTGTGCACCAGTCGCTGAATGTAAGCATGCAGGTGAAGGCAAATGGTATGTTAGTCTTCATTGCGAAAGGTTTCAAGTACAGGAGTAGGGATGTGCTGTTGCAGTTATACAGGGCTTTGGTGAGGCCACACCTAGAATATTGTGTGCAGTTTTCGCCTTCCTTTTCTGAGGAAGGATGCTGTTGCTCTTGAGACAATGCAGCAAAGATTTACCAGGTTGATTCCGGGAATGGTGGAACTGACGTATGAGAAGAGATTGACTAGATTAGGATTGTTTTCACTGCATTTTGGATGAATGAGGGGGGATCTCAAAGAGACTTATAAAATTCTAACATATCTGGACAGGGTAGATGCAGGGAGGATGTTCTTGATGGTGGTGTGTCCAGAACCAGGGGTCATAGTCTGAGGATTTGAGGTAGACCTTTTAGGACAGAAATGAGGAGACATGGGGAGAAAACAATTGAGTTAGACATCAGCCATGATCGTGATGAATGGCGGAACAGGCTCGAAGGGTCATATGGCCTCCTCCTGCTCCTATCTTGTACGTTTATGTGGAAGTTACCTTGTTGAGAATTTACAGCAAAGAAACAAACCTTTCAGCTCATCATTTACACCTTTTGTGCTCTACATGAGACGCCTTTTGGCCCTCCTTTATCTAACCTTTATCACCATATTCAATTCTTTTACCCCTCAGTAAACCTGGCTCGTTTGCCCAGGAATATGCTTTTTAACTACTGCACGGTTTAGGAAATTCTACTTTTAACCACTATGTTTCAGTATTGCAGAATACTTACAGCACAGATGGCAACACCATTTGGCCCATCAAGTCTGCATTGGCTCCCTCCCAAAATTAATATTTTACTTAGTGCCATTTTCAAACCTTCTCCTCATAACCTTGCACATAACCATGAACTACTCTATTCCGCAAGCCAGCTGTGTTCCAGACCTTAACCACTCATTAGGAAAGCTGATGGAACATAATTGTTTATTGCCAAGGAATTTTTTTTTCCTTTATTCATTCATGGGATGTGGGCGTCACTGGCTAGGCCAGCATTTATTGTCCAGCGGGCCGTTAAGAGTAACCACGTTGCTGTTGGCCTGGAGTCACATGTTGGCCAGACCAGGTAAGGATGGCAATTGCCGTTCCTAAACGGCATTAGTGGACCAGATGGGTTTTTCCGACAATCAACAATGGGTTCATGGTCATCATTAGACTCTTAATTCCAGATATTTATTGAATTCAAATTCCACCATCTGCCGTGGCGGGATTCGAACCCTGGTCCCCAGTACATTGTCTGGGACTCTGGATTAACTGTCCAGCGATAATACCACTAGGCCTTCACCTCCCCAAGAAATCTGGGCTCGTCCGGTGTATGAACCAGAGACCTCTCACCTGCCAACACTGTGCGATACCCTAAGAGAGAATTGTACCCCTAAAGACCATAGTCCTACCAGACCATAAGGCTGTGCTCTTATTACTGATTACAACAATAGGAAAGTTATGCTTCAGGTATACAGAGCATTGGCAACACTATATCTGGAATACTGTGCATTTCTGTCATCTTGCGTAAGGCAGGTCCAGTGGGCTTTAAGCACTTCAAAGAAGATTACTGGACTAATACCTGAAATGGGGAACTTGTCTTATGGGGAAGCTTTCACTAAGCTCGGTTTGTATCCACTGGAGTTGGGCAAATAAGATGTGCCTTGATTGAAACATATAGGATGCTAAGAGGCTGAGTATCTTCCTTCTAACTTTGTTTGCACAAAGTTAGAAGTCAAACGACACCAGGTTATAGTTCAACAGGTTTATTTGGAAGCGCAGTCCCTTCATCAGGTGCAGTGAAAGAGCAGAGCACACAGAGACACCAAGGGCAGAGAGATCAAAAGATCGTACAACTGGTGTGAGTAAAGTGTCAGATGATGAGTTTCTGCAGGTGACCAGGAGGTGAGATGGTGAGTAAAGTGTCAGCAGCTGAATAACCAGCGAAGGGATGACCTATAATCTGATTAAATGAGGCAGAGAGATAATTACAAATTAAAAATAAGGTGGTGCTGGAGACAAACTAAATGACTGGAGTCGCATGCTGAATTCAAGACTGTACAAACTAATTAAGGTAGAGAAATCATAATTTATCAAGGTGATGCTGTCGAAACAGGACAGTAAGGAAGATTTTACAGATACAGAACAATATGGTGGTGTCACCTCTAGCGCGATATGAACCCACGATCACAGTTGAGGCCGTCTTCATGGGTACAGAACTTGGCTACCAGTCTCTGCTCGGCAATTCTGTGTTGTATATCTTGAAGTCCACCTTGGAGGATGCTTACCCGAAGATCGGAGGCTGAATGCCCTTGACCGCTGAAGTGTTCCCTGACTGGGAGGGAACATTCCTAACTGGCAATTGTCATATGGTATCCATTCATCTGTTGTCATACCGTCTGCATGCTTTCACTGATATAACATGCCTTGGGGCATCCTTGCCTCCAGCGTATGAGATGGACAACATTGGCTGAGTCACATGATTATCTGCCGTGTATGTGGTAGGTGGTATCCTCACGTGATGGTTGTATCTTCTTTACTGTCCTGTTTTGACAGCATCACCTTGATTAGTTGTTATGATCTCTCTATCTTAATTCCAGTCATTTAGTTTGTCTCCAGCACCACCTTATTTTAAATTTTTTGTAGTTATCTCTCTGCCTCACTTAATCAGATGATGGGTGATCCCTTCGCTGGTTATTCACCTGTTGACACTTTACTCACTGTCTAACACTCCCGGTCACCTGCAAAAACTCATCATCTGACACTCCACTCACACCAGTTGTATGATCTTTTGATCTCCCTGCCTATAAACTCTGGATCTGTGTGCTCTGCTCTCTCACTAGGGGCTGCTGAAGGGGCTGTGCTCTGAAAGCTTGAGAGATTTCAAATAAACTTGTTGGACCATAACCTCATGTTATGTGACTTCTGACTTTATCCATCCTACTCCAACGCTGGTATCTCCACGTCATAACTTTGTATGCACATTTGGGATGTTAACTATGAAATACTGTGTACTCAGTAGTCCTTTTATATTAGGAAATATAATAAGTGGTGATCTGATTGCCTTCTAGTACAAAATCTGTTCAATTTATCTGTGTTCGTTCAAGTGGGTTATGAAATTGCTGCATAATATTTCTGCAAGCACCATACTTGTTGTAGAATCAAAGCTATATATAGTGCGACAGATCGCCAGGTTCAAGTTTCTGCCCGAACAGAACTGCAACAGCTGTGCTTGTGCTTTAACTGCGGTTAGCTTTACTTGGCGAAATAGAAGTAAAAAAAGTATCCTTTGCCTGGACACATACATAAAGAATGGTTGATTGAGTGAGGTGACAAAGGATGGCTGAAGCAGGGAAATTGCATCCCATTGGTAACTGAACGTGTTACAGAATGCTTTAGTGGGAGATTAGAAGAACGTCTTTGTAGTTGTAATTTATTCTGTTTGCATTTATCTTCTTACAGGAATTGATGTGCTGAAAGAACTGAGTTACAGAGGGGTTCATCTCGGACTATCTGTTCATCCTGCTCATGTTGTGAGTAGTCACAAATATGTTGTCTTTTGCAGTCTTCTGCCAGCCAAAATGTCTCTTTTTAGGTGATTATTTGTATGACAGTAAGGTTGTGAGATGCAAGTGTTATTAACTGTATCGTGATTTTGACACAGACCAGATCACCTGAGGGAAAGTCGAGAGACCCTCTAATTGCAGGAAAAATTAGTCACTGTGGCTCAATCATCTAGTTCTTGGCAGTAGGAATTGCAAAATTTGAAGATCTTGACGTCGTTTCTCTAATATACGAGATCTGCATCTTCTAAATTTTACCATTTGACTTCATCATCTAGATTTCTTAACTGTGAGTCAGGCTGAACAATATTAAAAAATCTGTTGTAACTTGTTCAGGCAAGGTTCTACTACCAAAACAGCTACCAGACAGTTCTGCCAATTTAACTCTACTTAGCATAATGACTTTCATTCAGGTGTCCTGTATGAAAAGCTCAGTGAATGCTGGCAGTGCTAAACTTTTGTTTTTATCAGATCTGTATTTTCAGTCACAAAAGCCTGTTGGGTTATCTTGTCTGAAGCAGAGATAATTGACCTTTATTTGACCCATATGCTTGGTCTAGTACCCACTTTATACTTGATAATTGCCCATTGTAAACCATCTCTGGGAAAAGTCAGCTTCGCCCAACCTAAATTTGGATACCACTGAATAGTTTTTCCCTTCCCAACATGCCACTTTAAGTGATAGCTGTTGCTTTCATGGTCTTTGATCTTTCAGTTGATGAGGCTAAAAGGTGGGAATGAATCTGAATTTGTCTCCCTCTTGGATATGAGTTTATGAAATTGGTAACCAAGGAAAATTGACTAAGAATCATAGAAACACTGGGAAGTTGACAGTTTCCAGAAAACCAGTTTAAGGATAAAACTGGAGCAAACCTTTACACACTTCTGTTTATAATTTATTAACAGATCACATTGTAAACATGCACCTCCTAATATGAGAATGCTCATATTTACAATTAAGTGCAGCGCAAATACTACTAATATGACTAGGTATTTTCTGCAGATATCGTTATGTGACAGAACCATCCAAAAAAAAGACAAAGAATTAATTGGTTCATTCAGACATTGTGCATTTCACTTCCCACGCTGCACACAAGTCACTCCACTTAATCAGGCGAGCAGAATTACTTTTGGCTAATTTAGAGAGCTTGGGTGAAAAACCTCTGGTTCTAATCTGTATAGATAATTGCGCAAGTTGCCAGAGGCTGCAGTAGCCGATATTGTGCCATTATTCATAGCTACTGCTCACTTATCTTGTGCAACTAAAGATGTCTTCCACTATCAGGAGCTTGTTTAGCTGATTTTTCTTTGAAGGGCTACGGTGAATCTACACTCTCCACACGATCTGTTTGAGTTGATGGCTACATAAAAGATGTACACCGAGGAACTGAATTTCGTAAATTGAAATTAAACAAGAATTCCTTTGAAGCAGGAAGCAACCAAAGTCCATGCAAATCGAGGCTTCTAATGCATAGCAATGCTTTATTTCCTGAAGTTTTACTTGGGAAACTACAGTATTACATCTTCAAAAACAAATAAAAGAAAAATGCCACCTCGAATTTATGAAGCGGAGAATTATTTATATTTTTAAAATTGTTGCCACCACCCAATTTGATAGATTAGAGTGTCATGAAAATGAGAGTTCTACAGTCACTGCTGCGTGTAAAGGGGAATTGCAGTGAAACAATTTTTATCGTGTGCAGGAAGAAAAAAATGAGATCCCATTAAGGCCAACCCTCCCTATCTAGCTTAAATATCCTAACCATCCAAGCAAAGTCTGCTCCCTTCTTCATCTTGAACCCATGGCTTGTATCGTCTTGGACTTTACCCCTAGCCATAGCTTTTCTAGTGAAAACTGGCCCAGCTCCTTGAGTGTATCTTGCTAGTAAAGAGCTGTAAAGGTTGGTATCCTTCAAGTAGCTCTTATAGATCCTGTATAGGGCCTCAATACACAACCATCTTGAGTTTTCTTTTGAAAGGTATATTTCTGGTTCTGTTGACAATCTTAGTTATACAACCTACAACTGTATAAACTTGTCTATTATGGCTCTTCAGCATTCGTTATGGACTTTTTTACTTCATGCTCCCCCACTTTTTGGATTACTCCAGGGACTCAAGCAGCCTTAAATAAGCGATACACAGGTGTATAGCACAGAGTAATGAAATGTCATGATGTCAGCCTGTAAGCCCCAATACCATTCTGGGGAAACTGCAATGTATGCGTAACACCACCACCATCACCAATAAGAGACAACTTATTCCAGCTGTTTTGAGATAAAGGCTGACTTTCCATTTGCATTTCAGTTACCTTGCTGCTAACTTTGTGACTTGTATGCAAGGGCATTCAAATCATTTAATAGTTCCTCATTCCGCTAGTATTGGGCAAAACTGATGCCTCGCTCGAAGCCAAAATACTTTTCCATTTGTATTAACTGAACATGTAAAACCACGTTCTGTCCATGCTTGATTGTAAATTGTGATTCCACCTGAACAACTTTGTGTTCCTGAATGTTGTACTAGTTGCAGACTTGTGTATACAGCTCTATTCCTACGTGCATATAGTTAATAGTCATGGTGAAAAACTGGGCTTCCAATGATTGAACCCCCTTTAAAATGGGTTATCACATCTACGACCTGTGAGGCACACTCCTATTAGCTCCTGTCTCTTCCCAACAAGTCTCAAGATTATTTCTGATTTCATACACTTCATGTTTGCCAATAATCTGTGATGGAGTATTGATAATTGGCCCCCTTGGAAACTGTACTGGTCACAGTTGCTTCTTACTGTATTTTCAATTGTTGATTTATATTTGTTATTCTGGGTAAAAATGAAAACTTCTTTTCCTCTTGCCAGTGGCACCCACCTAGATTTAATTTCCCTTCAAAGTCGGACCACAACATGAATGGAGAATCTAAGGTCAATCCTTCCCAAAGGTAAGACCAAAATGTAGTTTGAAGTTGGTTATCATTTGAAACTGATGCTGATTTATGTATTGATATTTTAGAGCTTCAGTTAATATCAGACCTTTTCTTTTGAGCATTTTGGGTGTAATGAAGCAAGCTTTGTCATCTATGAACCCCTCCAATCTCATCTGTTTATTTTGGGAGCTCTCATTAAGCAAAAGAATTTGATTTCCATAGCATTCAAAACCTCATTGCACTTCAAAATCTCATCGCACAACCCTTTGCAAGCTTTCTGAAGGATAGTCACTATAAGAAATGCGCAGCAAGTTTCAAAAAGAGCAGTGCAATAAATGACAAGATGATCTGTTTTGGTGATATGGGTTGAGTGATTTTTAATTGCTTCAAAAGGGTCACCTGTGCTTTTGGCTGTCACAACTCTGAACTCTAGTTCCCTTCCTAAATTTCCCTGTGCCTGTATCTCTCTCTGCCTTTCTCTCGCTCTCTCTCTCTCTCTCTCTCGCTCTCGCTCTCTCTCGCTCTCTCTCGCTCTCGCTCTCTCTCGCTCTCGCTCTCGCTCTCTCTCGCTCTCGCTCTCGCTCTCGCTCTCTCTCGCTCTCTCTCTCTCCATCCCCCTCTCTCTCTCTCTCCATCCCCCCATCTCTTTTTCCAAACCCCCCCACCCCCTCTCTCACTTTTAAATCTACCTCGTTAACTGACATTTTGGCTATCTGTGCTAATATTGCTGGTTTATTACACTCCAAGGACACTGTTTAGATACAGGTAATTGTTCATAAATATTGGCTGGGATACTCTGAGAGCCCCTTTGGATTAATACCCTGGCTTCCCCATGGCCAGTTTAGACATGCTACATTGGAGTCTCAACCCGATGTTGTTTCAAAGTCTGTAATGACGAGGTATGAAGTCAATGAATTGGAATCATTCCAGACTGTACTGAACCAAGACTGATGGTGTAAGTGCAGAGGAAGCATGGGCTTTTTAAGCCACTTTATACAAAGCTTCAATTTCATAGCCTAATGATTATCTACTGACAGGGTTACCTGGAAGCACGGTGTATAAATATTACATGAATTGAGGGCTGGCTGCCTTCTTTATTCTTTCGTGGGATGTGGGTGTAGCTAGCAAAGTCAGCATTTGTTAGTCATCCTTAATTGCCTTTGAACTAAGTGGCTTCCTAGGTCATTTCAGAGGGTAATTAAGAGTTTTGTGGAGTAAACCACTGATCATGACCATAATAAGTTTCTCTCTAATAATCTAAATGGCAGAAACTAACAGCTAGGTTCATAAGACACCTGTTTTTCTTTTATTTGCAGTCGAGAAACTGTGCCAAAAAAGAAAGTAGCTGCAAATCAAGAACCTAATCCTACTCCACCACAACCAGTGGAAGTCCAGCAGTTGTCCTGACAGCGAACAGACTAGCTGCTACCACAACTGGGTGGTGGAGTACTTCTCATCATCCAAACAACACTTCTGGAAGTGAAGCTTACTGCTAATTGCCGACAGCTTAATCTCTCAGATTCATAAATCTACCTCTGCTGAGGGAGAGGATGTGGGGGGAGCGGGGTATTGACCATTTGCTGAAAGGAGGCCTTACTGCGGCCTGTGTTCGCTAAGCGCAGACTCACCTTGGTCTAAGTTCCCATTGCACACCAGCCATTCACCCCATTGTAAAATGTACACTCTGCATCGAAAGAATCTAAGCCTTACTGAACTGCCAAACTAAAATGTAGAAATTTGACCAGCTAACTGACCCTGTAGCATTTGTGATGTTCAAGAATCTAAATTTAACAATCCTCTGGCTGCACAACACAATTGCTATCTTTTACAGTGTAGTGAATGGCTAAACTGTTGGCATGAGAAATCGTGCCAAATAATATCACCCAAAAAGTGTCAATATCCTACAAAATTATTTTAAAACAGTGGAGTGATCTACAAGAGCAATTATGTCACAAAATTGATATGCTGTAAATCCTAATTTTGATTTTTTTCTTAATTAATTGAGACCTGGTGCACTGTCTTCCTAAATTATTTACTCCTTCATTCTTAACTAATTGCACTGTATTATGTAAATGCTCACTGTGCTATACTCATCACTGACAGTGAGTACCTTGTTAGGCTAAAGAGTATTGTTCTTTTATAATTAAGTCTTTAAGACCAAAAATAGTCTTGGAGCTGAAATTTGTCTTTAAAATCACCTTAACAGGATATAAACAACTGGATTTTGTATGAGAGTTCAGTCCTGAAAAGAGAAAACGTAAACCATTTATTAAATCTCTGCAGTATTTCATCTTGACTGCCTTGATATGTGTGAATCGATTTTATCAGACCGAGTGTCAGCAGATATACTGGGTAACTCTAGTTCTTGTCTGGATGAGGGCCAGTATTTAAGTTTTATGTAACCTGATGCCAGATGTTAAGTATCCAGACCTCTTGGAGGCTATGGCGCAGCTAACGCAGGAGAACCTTTAGATCAAAGTATTTGTGGGTCGCTCCTGATCCAGATCTGTGCACTGTTGTGAAATATGCATATTGCTGATCCACAGTGCGGCTGCAGCATGGAAAAGGATGTTTCTGTATTAAACTTACTTGTGTAACTGATGCAAGGTTTCTCATCTTTCTGCTATAAATTCTGTGAATTCTGACGTAGATATCAAGCCTAATTGTTTATTTTGTGGAGATTAGTTTATTTCTGTTTCTCTCCATTCCTTCCTGCCAAGTTTCTAAACACCTACCTGGAATAGTTTTCAGACCTTTATCAGGAGCTCCATTCACCTGTTGTTGTTCTTCCCCCTTATCCCTTGATGCAGTTTTTTTCTGCAAGCCCCTGCAGTGTTGCTGACAGTGCTAAGTCACCTTGACTTTCTCTTTGGAGATGAGAGGGATGGAATTAACATTGAAGCTGTACTGGCCAACCCACCATAATGTATTTGTAGCCATCTGTTTCTTCTTTTCACTAAAGTGATATGGTTTAGTACAAGGTTGAAGGTAGAATTCCTGATATAGAAGTACTCTTGTTGATTTGACGTTTCCCAGCAATTTAACTCTATATATAGAATTGAATGGCAGCCGATGATCAGGTCTTCCCCTACTCCTAAGGTGCCAAGTAATGCAAGTCAGAAGATTGCATCAAAGGAAGAAGCCTTTAACTTTTTGTTAAACTTCTGGGATATTGGAATATCTGCAAGTACAGCAAATGTCTTCAGTGAATGTTGAAAAGGTAGTGAGGGAAACCTACTAGTTGATCAAATGTGAATTGCGCAATGAGCCTGATCCTTATGGGGTTGAGGTTTAGTTTTCTTGCTTTTGAGTGCAGATTTTTATCACTTCATAGGTGAACAGCTGAGGGCTTTAGGTTTCTCATTTCCTGGTGTTATTCCACTCAGTCAAACAAAAAATGTGGAATCTTCTGTAAGGAGTGGGAAGGAAGCATGTTTAGTCTGTTTGACAAATTTATTGTGTGGGACAAGAGGTTGGGGTTACCTATAAGAATTTTTGCTTGTTCCGCATCATCCTTTAACCCTTTCCTGGCTGAATGAAAAGTAAGCTCATCTACAGTAATTGCTGAAGTTCCTGAATAAGGTTAACTTGTGCCAGCTCACCAGTTGCTGTTAATGTACGCACATGTTAATGGATGGGTGACTCTACTGTCTGTTTGAGCCATGCTGGCACAGCCATGTGCTGGAGTGTCCTGTTTCAATATTTCTATAACTGGTGGCTGCTTCCAGTAAATGTAGTAATTGCCATGAGGCTGCTCTCTCTACAGTTGATTTCTCTAATAAAAAATACATATTTTTGAATCAGACAAAAGATCACAACTTTATACTCCCCAAGCTACTTTCCACTGTAGACTTTGGCCGTGCAATGCAAGTCAAAAGAAAATAGATTATTTAAATGATCTTGTGCATTCACCAGTTTTGACATGTTTACAAGTTTGCTGTGAATTAGGAATGAAAGAAATACTGACTATCTGTGAAATGATAATTGTAAGGTGATACCTGTTTTGTGGGATTTCTGTTGCGCTTTAGTTTAATGATGGTAAGCCCATTGTTGCAAGAACAATTAATGTTCTCCCTCTTTCCCCATTTAAGGTAATGGACAAAATTTCATTGTGAGAATAATTCAAATAAATTTTGTTTTTAAGAAACATTTGTGTATGTTAAATAGTGATACTAAAGCAACAGTGAAAATTTTGCATTTGCCCTAAATCTAGCAATCTAAATAATGTTAACTGAATCCACGCCCACTTTTTGTATATGTGACTGCTTTAAATTGTATGCGGCCTAACTGTCCAGCATCTATCTACTCCAAACTATTACGGGATTATGCGAGAAATCCTACAAGGAGCTGGGTATCACCAAATTTTAACCCCTTTTGTGTACAGAATTGTTTACAGGAGTGGCAGCGCGCACAAATTCTGGGAGTTGTTCAGTCTTTGTTTTTTCCACCGTGGATTCTGTTTCTACATCACACTCTGCTGCAGCAATGACTCCAGCACAGGTGGAAATCTTCTGCCACAGCAGGCTGTGTTCTGGGGAAAGCGAAGAGAAAAGATGCTTTTCTCAAAATGTGATACGTTTACTGAGAAGCAAGTTTATAATCATTCAAACTCTGTTCTGTCATGAACAGACTTTTTAATAAGTTAATTACTAATTGAGAACTATGTTGTGTATTCTGGCACTTGTCTGCTGTCTTTATGTTTACCTATTTCTTGAAGTATCCAAGGATCTGATCAAGATTGGTTTCTAACAGTACAGAAGCTGTTGAGAGACTACAGTTTTGAGCTGAGCAATAATTTAAGAATCCTAATAAATATATCTTGGAGCTAATGTTTTTTTGAAGACGTGTCTTTTGTTCATTTCCTTATTGTTGCCAATACGATCCCATTGATTCGTTCTACACAGGCATAGCATCCATGTCTTGAATAAATTCAGAGATCAAAAGATATTGATAATCTGGAATGGGCAGGCTGAAAATAAATAATTGTAGATAACTGAACAACATGGAGAAAGAAACAAAGTGAATCATAGGATGCAGTGCAGAAAGAGGCCATCGGAGTCCGTACCAAACCTCTGGAGTGTATCCCACCCTGAGCTTCTAACCCTACCTTTTTAAATAACTGCCTAACCCATCCAACCTGCAGACCCCTGGATACTGAGGCAATTTTAGCATAGCTAATCCACCTAACCTGTACATCGTTGGACATGGGAGGAAACTAGACCAAATCCACACTGACATGGGAGAACATGCAAACTCTACACAGTTGCCCAAGGGTGGAATCGAACCTGGGTCTCTTACACTGCGGCAGCTATGACCCTCCTGGTTAACTCCTGCAGTTGCAGTAATCTGTCCAATGTCATTTTAACCATCTCTTAGATCATTCCTCAACCTCAGCTTGAGTTTGTGCAAACCAACCTTCTCAGATTCAAAACGAATCTGTTCTGTACATCCAAGTTCAAAACGTTCTGAATGCAGTATTCCAAAAGGGATCTTACCAAGGCTTTGTATGTCTGAACATCAATTCCTCCCTTTATATTTAAGCCTCCTCACAATGAAGACTAATATTCCTTTAGCTGTTTTGACACTTCTGGTTTTAAAAAGTTGAGCATCGAGTACAGATTCCTTGAAATTTCAGAGGTATGTGCTAGGCTCAGCCATCTTCAGCTGCTTTTCTCCGACAGGTCAGAAGTGGAGACATTCACTGATTGCATGATTTACATTTCCTTGGGTACTGAAATAGTCCGCCTGTTTGCAATATTCAGGCTTGGGCTGATAAGCGGCATGTAATATTCATGTCATGCTATCTCGCTTCATTAGGCAAGCCTTTCATCTCTGGAATCAGTCTAGTGAACCTCCTCTGAACTGCCTCCATGAGATGAATTACTAATTCATCTGCTCTTTGCAGTTTTTGATTACGAGAAGAGTGATGCCCAATTCGGGGTGGGGGGGGTGTGGAGGAGGACTTCTGTCTTGCTCACATAGCGTCATACAGAATGGAAACAGACCCTTCGGTCAAACTCATCCAGGTCAGACAAATTTCCAAAAGTAAATTAGTCCCACCTACAATCTTTAATGTATGTTGGAACAGAAAAATCAGCACTTCTTTTTCATATTACATCCCAAAAAAATGGGAGTTCTCAACGATACAGCACCCTATTAGCGCCGGTCTGGAATACCAAGCTGGATACTATGGAGGTTGAGTCAAGAAAACTATTCTGATTGAAAGATTTTTTTAAAAAGAAAGTATTTGGGTTGTCACAGTTCAAAAATGTCTGCTGCAACAAAATGCAAAGGTTTGTTTTCAAACCTGCATGCAAGAGTAACATTGCAATGAACTGCAAGTTCCAAGGTGTTTTATATATATCTGGAGCAATGGTGGGAGTGGGGGAGGTGGCAGTGGGGAGGAGAATGTGCTAAATATAATGGTACTGGCCTGGGAGCTATGCGGAACATGTTGATGAATGGTAACTGGCTGTACTTTGTGCAGTTCTGTAGATGGGATAATGATGCAGTGTCAGAACGCTGCAATGATATTGATCAATTCACATCCATCTGTCCTCAGTCCAGATTGATTTGAGTGATTATACAATCAAGACAGTTTTCTCCAATATCCAATGAGAACAACTTGTGTAACAACCTACATTTAGAAAAGAACCTTTCACGTAGTGGAAACATCCTGAGACATCTCACAGGAGTGTCATGAACAGCAACACTTTATGATATAAAGTTTTTTTTTATTCATTCACTGAATGAGGGCATCGCTGGCTAGGCAGCATTTATTGTCCATCCCTAATTGCCCAGAGGGCAGTTCAAAGTCATCTACATTGATGTAGGTCTGGAGTCACATGTAGGCCAGACCAGGTAAGGATGGCAGTTTCCTTCCCTAAAGGGCATGAGTGAACCAGATGGGTTTTTCCTCCCCCGCCCCCAACAATTGACAATGGATTCACGGTCATCATTAAATTCCTAGTTCCAGATATTTATTGAATTCAAATTCCACCATCTGCTGTGGCAGGATTCAAACCCAGGTCGCCAGAACATTATCTGGGTCTCTGGATTAACAGTCCAGTGATAATGCCACTAGCCCATCGCCTCTCCTGAAGAGAAGGAAATCTGAGCTTGTCTGGGATATGAACTTGAGACCTCTCGCCTGTCAAAACTTGAGTAATTCTGAAGGAAGACCCATCTTGTCAAAATCTTTCATCTTACACTCATTAGGATAATTCATAAGAATACCAATGTAGAGATGAACAATATGTATATATTATATGAGAAGAGCATGCTGATTGGTTGACAAATGGACTCCAATTGGTAGATGTAATGCCATGGAGAATACAGCAGTTTAAATCATAACAAGTAGGCCATCAAGTTTACTCTACAGTTAAATAAGATCATGACCTGATAATCCACAACTCCACTTTCTTCATAACCCTTGATTCACTTTATGATTAAAAACCTGTCTATCTCAGCCTTGAATATACTTAATGACCCAGCCTCAACAGTGTCTGTGATAAAGAATTCCATTAATTCATTCTTTTCAGAAGAAATTCCTCCTATCTCTGTCTTAGATGGGTGAGCCTTCACTCTGAGATTATTCCCCCTGGTGTTAGATTCTCCTGCAAGGGGAGACAACCTTTCTGCATCTACCTTGTCAAGTCCCTTAAGAATTTTAATAAGGTTTCAATAAGGTCACCTCTCATTCTTCTAAACTCCAATGAGTACAGGCCCGACCTTTTTAACCGCTTCTCATAAGACAGTCTCTCCGTACCCATGCTCAGCTGAGTGAGCCTTCTCTGGATTGTCTCCAATGCCAGTATATCTTTCTTTAAATAAGGGGCCCACAACTGCTCACATTGTTCCATCTGTTGTTTAACCAGTGCCTTGTATAGTTTTGTGAAAGCCTCCTCATTTTTATACTCCATTCTTTTTGAAATAAAGGTCAGCACTCTATTGCCTCACAAAAACCGTAAGAGCTGCTGATGCTGTAAATCAGAAACAAAAGCAGAAATTGCAGGAAAACTCAGCAGGTCTGGAAAAATCTGTGAAGAGAAATCAAAGGTAACATTTCAGGTTGAATGACCCTTCCTCGAAACATTAGCTGTGATTTATCTCCACAGATACTGCCAGACCTGCTGAGCTTTTCCAGCAATTTCTGGTTTTGATTCCATTTTCCTTCTTTGTTACCTGTTGAATTTGGATGTTTATTTTTCAATATTCACAGATGAGGGCTCCAAATCTCTCTGACTCGTAGCTTCCTGCAGTCTTTCTCCATTTAAATAATCCTCCCCTTTATTCTTCCTGCCAGAGTGCATAACCTCACAATTACCCATATTATATTCCAATGCTAAGTTTCTGTCCACTCGCTTAACCTGCCTCTATCCCCCTGCAAATTCCACCTTACCCACCTACTTTTCTGTCATCTGCAAACAAGGCTATAGCATATTCACTTCCCTCATCTGAGTCATTAATATGCTAGACATGTAAACAGTTAGATGATGACTGATAGTTAACTGCCAAGATTGCAAATTGTCCTGATGAGGACAGGACAATAAGCCTCAACAGCATGTATCTTTTTTTTTAGGAATACCCAAGAGTCTTTGAAAGTGGGAAGCAAATTAGAGAGGTAGGAATTTGTAAAGAGCAAATTCTAGTGTTGGGCCTGGGCTTCTAGGAAGACAAGTTCATTAACAGTGAGTGTTTATAATTAGGAATGTACAAGAGGTTAGTGTTAAAGGAATATAGAGTCATTGAATCATTCAGCATTGAAACTGACCCTTTGGTGCAACTAATCCGTGCCAAAAATAATCCCAAACTAAACTAATTCCACCTGCCTGCTCCTGGCCCATATCCCTCCAAACCTTTCCTATTCATGTACTTATCTAAGTGCCTTTTGAAAGTTGTAACTGCACCCATATCCACCACTTCCTCAGGAAGTTCATTCCACATATGAACCTGTGTGTAAAACATTTGCCCCTCATATCTTTTTTAAATCTTGTCTCCTCTCACCATAAAAGTAATCTTGAAATCACCCACCATAGGGAAAAGACACCTACCATTAACCATATCTATACCCCTCATGATTTTATAAACTTCAGTAGGGTCACCTCTTAACCTCCTGCGCTCCAGTGAGAAAGGTCCCAGCCTATCCAGCCTCTCCTTATAACTCAAACCCTCCATCCAGGCAACATCCTGGTAAATCTCTTCTGAATTCTCCCTAGCTTAATAATATCCCTCCTATAACAGGGCACATATGGACAAGATGGGCCGATTGGCTGTATTGTTTCATTTCTATGGTTCTATATATTTTGAATAGTTGTAAAATATCACAGAGTGATAAGGTCATGGAAGGATTTGAAAACAAGGATGAGAATTTTAAAATAAAGATATAGCTTGTCTGGGAGTCAAAATAAGTCAGTAAACAAAATGCAATACACTCTTATAAATAATTGGAAACAGAGACCAAAAGCTTAGGAAAAGAGGTAGGTTTTAAGAAGTGACTACAAGGAGAAGAAAAACATTTCAGGGGTGACCAATATGAAATAAACATGGTTTAAAAGTGGAACAAGGGGTTATACAGGTGTAAGCCGTTGGTTATGTTGTAGTGAGCACAGAATCAGAGAATTGCCATGATATAGGAGACCATTTGGTCCCTTGTGTTTCTTTCCTGCCCTTTCCCCATAGCCTGTGCATTTATTTCTATCCAAATAATCATCCAATGCCAATTTGAATATTCCTTGGTTAGACTGGGGCCCTTTCTAAACCTGCACTCTGACCGTGTGTGGCTTTTCATGTGGTTCATGGTTGCAATTCAGTTCATGCTTTTACTTTC